ATTTTATATTACATTTATTTAAAGCGTTTTATTGAAATATATCAACAAACTATTGTATTAAAATAAATAATATAAAATAATATATTTTAGTACATCAAGAGTATTTAAATTATAATACATTGTAAATTAAATCACTCAGAATTTTTAAGTCTCACCATGCATTATATAGTTTTCCAAACAATTTTTCTGCAAGTTTTATATTACGCTGTGGCAATTCATTTTCATCACATAATACTACAATTGGTATCTAAAACAGAGAAATTATAAATCATATTGCACATAATATTTTCAAGGGTGAAACACTGAAACGTATTCGGGACAAATAGCGCACACGTTTGAACAAGGTTGGCTGATCTTGTTACCTGGTGATTTAAAATTTAACATTGATAAATCACAAAACTAAACCTTAAAATGATGTAATTTACTGAAAAATAAATCATTTGAGATATTTTGTTTTAAAAGCTTCTTACTAAAATATAAAAAATAAAAATACATAAATAACAGTTATTTTAAAAAAGGTTTACTTTTAAGGAACTTTTTTATAAAACTCAAATTTTATTTCTCACTAATGATACTATAGTTTTATAAACACAAACAGGTAAAGAGACAGAAACTACTCTATAAATTACACTAAAAGTATTATAAACTTGAAAATTAATTTGGTATATATCATATGATAGAAAATAGACGATGAGAAAGATCTGCAAGAACCATTTCTCAAAAACATTTCTTTATATATATTCGAACGATCACATTCAATTATAATAAATTTACTTATTATTGACATTACACTTTACTCAAAAATTAGTCATTGCATTAACTATTGTATCGATTACGAATAATTATATGTGTAATTTAACTTAAAAATAATATTATTTTAAAAATAAAACATTATGGTGTTTTGATTTTTTGAAATATATAACAAATAACAACTTTTAATTAAGTATGACAAAATTGTGTTGCTTGAAGACTAATTTATTAAATTTACCATGTGGTATCTTTTGTAATCGTTTATGTAGATTTTAATGATATAGATAAAATGTGATTTTATTAATTTAATTTATATAAAGAACAACGTTTACGTTTTCCATGTATAAGTTTAAACGAATCTAGTCATAACCTGATTAAAATATACTAAGATTTTAATTCTGTTGCGTGTAAAAATATTTTAGAATTAATGTCTTGCCATGTTTTATAACATGTGACGATATTAATAAAAAAAATTAAGATTCATAATACATTAATAAAACTATTATTATACGGAAATATAGAAAAGTTGAAGTTTCACTAAAAAAAAAAAAAAAAATCCCTGGTTCTTATTTTATGTATGATTATTTATATTTATCAACCAATAGATCTTTTATTTCAAATTCGAGATGCTTGCCTCGACTAACAAAAAGTAAAGTAATGTAAGTATTTTAAACTACAAAGATTCAATAAACCAAATACGAAATTATTTATGTTGTTTTTCAACGTTCAGATCTCTTCGTCAACCCTCCATCCACCCGTGATAAACATCCTTGCGTCTTACTGCAAAATCAATTTATACTTTGGTTATCCGTAACTATTTCGCAGTGAAATGGTATTTCTGATTAATATTTAATTTTCAACTGTGCACCTACACTTTACTAAAGTTAACTAGAAATACTTACGTATATATATACATAGGTACTAACTGACCCAACAGACGTTATCCTATCTTAATTATAAATATTGAATTCGAATTGGTATAACATAATAAAAAAAATATTTCAAAAAGAGTGTTTATTATTCTAATGCTTTTTGATATACAACAGTCTTAGTATATTATTTGGCAACAACCGAACATGGTACGTAATTAATTTTATCACACTAAAACTCTATAATAGCTGATAATATTAATTTATCGATAGTCACAGATATTATACCATAAGCACAATTTACGAGTTAACATTCATGATTATTGTAACACATAATATTTATGGACGTATATCGGTTTTTTGTGTGCTATCGTGCTTTCATCCCAAACTATTAATTTGCTCTACTGCAATACTTTGGTCATCGCAGAATTTGTTGAAAGGTTGCAAGTTAGTGTTTCATTTATTTGCATGTTCAACGGGAACTTGAGTGCAGAATGAGCTGTTCGACCGCCTTCCAACAACATAGCTATAACACCTGACGAAGCAAGTGCAAGTGCGATACCATTTTGCGACCGAATCATTGCAAAAATCAATGATATTAAAAACGTTTTTCCAATCCCACCAGAAGCATATGAGAAAAAAAAATCAACCAGTTCTATCGTTCACTATTTTTATTAGCGTATCGTAGACATATTTTTGTTGCTCATTTAAAAATGGAACATTTCTTGGAACAGTTTTTTTTAATGACTTAGAATCCATATTGGGTTTCAAGTCTTAATTCTTGATTAAATGCGTCGTGCATTGGGCGATTGGGCGTTGTCATTCCTATTGTATTAATCCTTTGTTGGTAAGAATCATGCACATGTCTTCAATTAAAATTAATGCTTCATTGTATATTTCTTCGTGTTAATTTGCAAATTTGTATTTGATGTTCTAAGACGCTTCTAATGTAATACGAGTATATACGAATATAACGAATCATATGATCGATGTGTTTTGGACACACACTGCTGTTGATCACTACGCCGATGTAAAACAATATTTCGGTTTTCTAAATTTTTACCCACTATGACAATAGCAACTTCGTCAATTGTTGGCGCATTAAAATGTCTCGCGTGTTATCCTGCAGGATTCTTATCAGCTTTGATGACAATTTCATGATAATCAGACGTCATGCGGTCCAAAGTGGTCGTGAATAATGCAACCACTTCGTTATGTTTATGAACAAAACGTTTGAAGTTGTTCAACAATTAACAATGTTAGATGATATATTTGACCCTAAATCTTGAAAGTTGGCATACAATTTGCTTAAATAACGTTTGTTGTATCAAATGAAGTAATTTGAAAACAATTATTATATTGCTGGATATGAGACAAAAAATGTTTAGAAACTGGCCCAATGTAGTGGCTTTGGTGGCTGTTCCAATTAGTTTGACTTGACCGCCCGCGCAACACAATCCAGATGTTTTATTTTTAAACATAAATGCAGGCCCGTATTTAGGGGGGGGCACGGTTAGGCACATGCCCGGGGGCGTCAAGTCTCAAGGGTGGCAAAATATTTTAGCAAAATGAATTTTAAAAATGATGTACCTAATGAAAAAAAAAAATTGTTAATTAAAAAAAATATCAAACGATTTTCATATACAAGTTATATTTTAATATTAAAAAATCTCGATTATGGACAAAATATTAAGTGTTATATTATTATTATTATTTATTATTTGGGAGGGAGACATAAATTATATGCCAGGGGGCGCCAAATACGGGCCTGCATAAATGCCTTACAATATTGGCACACAACGTTAGTTAATTTGTCCAATAGCAAAGATTTTCTGTGAACTGTAATTGATCTCCACGTTACACCACTATAAACGCAACATTTCTATGTTGTTCTTTTTGATTCCATTGATTCCGTTCAACTTCATTCCGAGCTTCACGTTGATCGTCAGTTTGACTTGCTCTTGTATATCTTTGACTCACAGCATTGCAAGTTCTGCGACTTAAGTTTTAACGAAAATTCAACTGTAAATTAAAGAAAATGATTGTATTCTTCTTTAAAACAAAGTTTATCACTTACATCTACTTATATGTTAGTCTATCCAATTTTACTAAAACTTTATATTAAATTGAACTTTTAATATTTAGCGTGATGGCTCTGAACGAACCGATAGAGAAATTCAATTATCTTACATAGATATATTAATAAATATATTAATTAGATATATTAATGTATGGTGATTATGTATTTTTAAATTTTCTAATTTTTCGCGCAATTTTTTTAATTTTTTTCTTTCATAAGAACTTTTTTCTGTTAATTACTAACACAACAAAAAAAGAATTAGCGAAATCAGTCCAATCGTTCACGCGTTATGGCGTGACAAAAGGAAATAGATATCAATTTTTATATATATAATAATAGATAGATATGCAGTGAAATCTCTAAATACCACTATCGGTCACTGAAATTATGTCCGCTATTTAATGAGAGAAATATTATTTTTATTGAATTATAATCACAAGTTAAATTTAAATATATATTAGAATAGTTTTATTTTTATATTAATTAAATACATACATAGGTACATGTTAAAAATTAATATTTATCAAAAAAATACGTTCGTATTGACATCACAAACAACTAAATATGAATACGACAATGCATTAATCACAGCATTTTATCGACGCAATAATATTTCAACGACTGGATAAAATAAGTTATACTATATATTGTATTATAATGTATGTATACGTAATAAACTATAATTTAATAACGTACATTTTTATATAGGTGTCCCATATTAATTAGTAAATTACGATGGAAATCGTCAATTTCGATAACTCAAATGTCGTACAAGTGTCGGTTACTTAGAACGTGCTGCATTTGAAAGTTTTCCTATTGAAAATCAGTGAAAATGTCTCCGTTCCGGAAAAAACATTCATTATTTAGAGGTGTTCGTTTAAGGAGGTTTCACTGTATATGATATATACATCGTAAAACGTGAGGATGATGTCTATCACGGGGAATGGAGGGTTGACGATAATATACATAGACACGAGTTGATAATTTACAATACCAAAGTAATGAACGGTTCTGGTAGATTATATCGGATTATATTATATCGTTTTTAACGACAGGCATCATCATTACGGTACGATATTATTTTTTCTCGCTGTACGATTTTCATTTGAACTCCATCGTAAATCTTTCGGGCCTCCCCGTATAACTGAAAATTAATACGTGTAATATGTTCAACCCGTTTGTAACCGTCGTCGTTGTCGTCGCCGCCGCCGCCGCCGCCGCCGCCGCCGCCGTCTGTACCGCGGTAATCCCGGTTTCTACGTTTGCTTTTGCACGCCGCGCGGAAAACGGCTAGCGTCACGGCGACGGACGCTTGCGCTTCGGTCCTCTCGCAATCGGCGATCCGCGACTCGCCTAACCGGCAGTGCGTTCTCGACATCGGTCCCGCGAGATCACCACCCGTTCGTCGTCGAGATCGTCATGTAACGCCGACGAACTTCGCGAATCGTTTTCGTAAGTATTTATGTGATTATTGTTCTGCTTGACATCTGGTTTCCAACGCTGTCGCGTAATATTTTCACCACACGCCGTTCGCCGTGCACGTGCGTATGTGAATACGTACAGTTAATTTTTAATATTTTTTCCTTTCGCTATATCTCATCTCCCCCTCCCCCCACACCAGCACCCATAAAACCGTCCGTCCGTTTATTCCAACCGAATGCGTACACTGAAGTGACCGAGCAGGGTCGTTGTATTTGTGCATCGAGCACATCACTCGCGCTTCGAACTAATTCAGCACTGCAATAAATCGCACGTTTGCAGACGAGTAAAGTTCACCGACCGCACAACTGTAACGGACAGCCGTGGATCGCGCGCAACCGTGCACGGTACATTTCAATATTTCCATTTTGGTTTCCTCTTTTCGAGCACTAAATTTAACCTGAAAAGCACCGTGTTACGCCATGGTAGACGACATGTCCTTTGTTCCTGTCGAAAAGGTTAAAATTTTTAAAACCGTTTTCAACGTATTAATGAAATTCCGTAATCGCATAGGAGTATTGTTTCGGTAAAAAACCTAAGATGCAATTGAAAACGATTAGCGCGTCACATAAACAAATAATTACTCACTTTTACGGTATTCTGTCCAGTTAAAATTTTTATAAACGTTTACAGAAACATCCATAGGAATCGTACCTTTACATTTTACAACCAATCGTTTTATTGATATCAAGTGTTAAAAAGTCATTGGCGGTATTCGTTTTCGACAACGTATTCGAAGCCGGTTGTATTTCTAATAAAAATACTTACGTGAAACATTATCAAAGAAACCATAAAAAGTCATGTTTTATAAGAAACGTTAACAGTTATGTTAAAAAATAAGCTACACGTATTTTATATGTTTCAAATACAAAAAGAATCTGAATAAATATTGTAATTTTATAATTATTACCATGAAATTATTATTTGTACGATACGGTATTTAATTGATTTTTACATATATAAATTTATTTTTTGCAAATTATAATTACAAATTTCAACGCAGTATCAGTGAAGACCGTAAAAAAGCTGTACGTGTACAAATATAATTTAGTAATTTCACGATATAATTTGTGTAATTGTAAAATTTATATTATTACCACCAGTCAAATTTATGCGATTTGATCAAAGAGTAAATGGAAGATATTATAATATTATTCATTTATTGACTGTTTCTTCTTATTTAATTTTGTGAAACGATTATTCAAAAATTTTTAAACTCTAATTTATGAACAGTCCAAGTGTTTTTCATGCATTTAATGTGTCATTAATATTATTCAAGTAGTGGAATAATTGGTTCCGAGTTAAATCAATAAAAAATCATTTTGAAATGTTCATATATAATTGAACTTTTAACGATTACAGATTCAGTTGAAAAAAAACCGAATAAACTTTTGGTCTTATGTGATATCCCGTTGATTATACCTCAAATCATTACGTAGAATATTGTCAGTAATAAGTTTAAAATAATTGATAAATATGAACACGTTGACGTAAAATAAAGTTTCTTAATTCAGATTTTTTATTATTTTTTTTTTTTTTTATCAATCTTATGGAAAATTATATTTTACACTCGACAAAATATGAATTTAAAAATGAAAATTTATCGTTTTCATAACGTTATTGCTTGATCAAATCACAATAGGAAAGAGGATAATCACAAATATCGAATTATTTTACATGCACCTTTTCCCCATCGTAAGCTCTTGTCGAAGAACGGGAATAATCGATAGTGTAGTCGCAGAAATGTAGTCATATCCGTTCGAGTATACTAACAATATGCGTTCGGCGTAGTTGAACAACGATCATCGGTCCTCTTAAATATAAAATCATATCCCACTGGTTTATCAGACGTTCACTGAGGTTAAATTTACGACACACGCGTTATGGGCACCTATTTAGCCTGTTCTCGATTAACTCGCGAGAATCGTATCACATTCAAAACGTCATTCGGAAGTGCATAGTAATAACAAAGAAACGCCGTGATCGCCGCAATAGTAAACATAAGCGACTTTGGATAATGCACGAATTTCTAGGCGTTCTCTTCCCGTGCGCGATGACCCGGACTGATGACACAAAAGGATTTCGTGTGTATTCGAATAGACAAAGACGTTTTACAATCCTCCAAACACCACAGCAAATAAATCTTAAACCACGTTAATGGCATTTGTCACAAAGTCATAATATAGGTTGGTGTAATGATGCATTCCAATTTATGTTATACCATTTTTGACTAGACGTCATTTATTTAGTCTAAATGTAGACCTTCTATAACAATAACCAACAACGGTGTACGGATGTGGTTTTATATAAGCTTATCTTTATCAAAATATATTTAAGTAATAGAAATGCGATTACAAAAAATCATCAAGATATATTTTACATATCTAAAATAAATTTTATTTCAACGCGTTTTTGTTCATTTTTTTTTTTTTACTCACTCTCTTCCCTAAAATTATATGAAAACTATAATGTACAAGCATACAAGTATAATGCAAACATATAATAACTTACAATTATTTGTTGTTTAAATTAACTATACATTATTGAACATAATTAAAAATAATATAATATTTCAATAAAATTTTTATCACAAACGGTAACGATTATACAAATCATACATAATAAATTCAATAGGTTTTGCCTAAAATGTGAATGAATTTAAAATAAAAACAAACACAATTATACATTTATTTAGGTATTTATAACATAATTATTTAAAAGTATTATTCAACCGACACGCAGTTAATTGTCAACGTAGCTACGATTAAGTTTAGAATCAAACATTGTAATACGTTTTAAATTTTCTTTGCTTAATTACTTTATAATGATGTATTTTATTAAATCGATAAAATATGTGACGGATAATACAATTGATTTTAACTGCTGTGTATGCCGAAGTATGCTTTACAATTTAACATATTTAAATTAAAAATCATAACACGATATACGTATCTTATAATTATTAAAATCCAAAAATAATAATCATTCGATTTTATTTTGAATTGTGTTTGCTAATAAATAATTACATCTTCGCGAGATTAAAAAACATCATAGTCCGTGTTTTATTTTTGATACAAGTATATAATTTTCGATCGAGAACTTCATTTACGTAAAAATAATACAATTGCCACGGTGTTTTATTTTTTTTTTGCATCCAATAAATATATAAATTTCACCCTAAAATAAACATAATAAGCGAACTCGTCGGTGTGTAATAAAAACCAACCACAAGTTCGGTAGTAAATAAAAAACATATCTGATTATAGGCGTCGGCACCGACTACCATTTGTTTTTCGGTGATTATTTCCACCGCTAAGAATATCGCATAGAAATGAACCAGGATTCGATTATGTATACGAAATCAGTTGTGGTCAGAAGAAATTAGGAGCGAATTTATTTAAATTATCGCTCTTTAACAATTTTACTCGGGCATGATCAACAGGGCTTATTCTAAAGCGCAGTTGGGCTTATTTTGCGTATTTGGAAAAGCTAGATGCGCACTTGATAATAAACTTTTGCGTAATTGATTTTTATGATTTATTGTTTTAGGTGATTATAAGATAAGATTGCAAATAATAATTACTATGTTATATGAATTTACAATATAAAATTAATTTTATATTTGTTATAGTGAATATACATCCTAGTATTCCTAGTAAATTTTATATATTATTACATATATATTATTATTACTTTAAATGTATAATGTATATTTAATATTAAAAGTTGTAAGTAAAAGTCAACTCTCTAGAGTTAGGGTTTTCTAAGAATACGTAATATCGAATATCGATAAGGAAAAACAATACCTAATCAACCGGTTACCGCCTCGTTTTAAAATTTTTAACTATAATTTGACAATATATATTGAGATCATAATTATATTTTGATAGGCTTATTTAAAAAAAATACGTGGTTGATAAAAATTCTTAGAATAAGCCCTGATGATCAATATTCTTCACTCGCTAAGCACCGACTGCAACCACGAAGAAATTAAATAACCGAATTAAATAGTTGCGTAGTTTTTATCTTCGTACATTACGATTGGTGATAATATGATAATCCGGGGATTTCACCGACCGAAAATCATGTAGTTGACATGGATCCGTGCCAATCACAAGATCCCCAATCTGGAGAAGGGTAGATTTTGTATGTATACAAAAAGAGAAACAGTAACACTGCATTAAATAAATAAAAAGTCATTCATAAAGTGGAAAATAATTAATGTATTTCTATATAATTGTAGTTGAGTTGGTGTTAAGAAAGCCGTGACATTATACTCAATAATCATAATAAAAACACAAATACAACGAGTAAACGCACATGGTAATGAAAATAATGTCTGCAACTGAACATAAACAATAGGAATTCTAAGATAGTCATACTATTAGAACTAAATACTGTAATAAAATACCGGCCACGGCAAAGGAATAATAATCAAAAGGAACAAGTACTGAGACACGAGTTTTAATATGTCTCCACGGTCGACCCAAAGGCATACCAGCAAACGCCGTAGTCATTACTCACACACGTTGTTGCGGGATCGGCGTTGAGAAAAGGAGCGCCGGAGAGTATCCCGTCGTCGGACCGTTTACAGACGACACCATTTAACGACGGGGAGAGTGAACGGAAAACTTATCTTATTCACTGGATCTGTTCGATATTATACAAGATAAATATATGAGTATTTTCTTTATGTTATTCGTGTCCGGTGTCGGCCAAGCTTTGCTGAAGGACGGAGACACGGAGGGGCATGTGTGTCGCATGGGCAAATGGTCGTTGATCGGCGAGTACATGGGAGTCCACGGCAATACTATAACGCACGACACACGTAATAACAACAATAATAATAATAGTATTTAGAATACGAAATGATTATTTAAAATAAGCGTTCGCCTTAAATTACGGTTGTCTCAATTTTTTGGTTCAACAAACTCCTAGACAAATGTTATTGAAAAAGACTGTTCATCCCTCAA